ATAGCTGGAAAGCAATCTAGAAAATGACTGTGCTGTGTCACAGCATTGTGGTTTAGAACTGGTGAGGCAACTAAACCAGACTCCTTGCAGACAAGGCAACTGAGTTAAGTGACAACTCTAAGAAGGTATTGATGAAACCACCAGCTTGAGAAACTGATCACTCCAAGCGACACTGCTCAACAGTTCTGTTGCTAAGAGTTTGTTCTTCGTAACTGACACCTAAGTATTGCTATAAACTGATTAGCCACAAGCAAAGGAAACAATTTTGGTTGTATCTAAGAAAATCCTTTAACACATTGAAGACAGAAGTTACTTAGCTACAGAAGTTTGACATTGTTACTTGACATTAATTATGTTTTATTTTCTACACCTTAAATACCAGCAAGGGCACCACAGTGATGACCACATGTTGAACTCTTTCCATTAGATTTCCAAAATTTTCCAAAGTCAATTTTACAAAAACTGGTATCAATCTTAGGCTGAGACGGACAAAAAATTTGTACTTTGGATTTTTTCAACCGAATTTACCATAATTGCAAATTTCTTTAGAACCATTGTCAAAAATACTTTTTAGAGAGGTTTTTAGCACTACAGAAAAACTGCACTGAAAATGAAAAATATTTACACAACTGAAATTGTGTACTTGCTCGTTACCAAAATTTGAGAATACCAGATCAGAAACTATACTTTTTGGCAGATGCTTAACTCATTATCATTCAGCTGTTGAACCACATATCCAGCTTGCATCAACTAAGAGGATTATGCAACAACAGGCAGGTTATTACTGCTTAAAGCTCATATACCAAACTTGCTTCTTCATAATGTTCTGAGTTTCTATGGATACCTCTTTACCTGAAAAACTGCCACATGGGCTACTGAAGTTCTACCAAAAAAATGCAGGCTTTTTTATTCACTTCCTATCACAGTGGTAATATATAACCTATCAAGGAGAGTAAAATGTAATGTGCACTGCACAAAACAATCTAGTTCTCCCAGATCTTAGTATCTCACGTATTTATTTAATCTCCACATTCTAACTACACGTAAGAAAACATTCTTGTCAACTAATAGATATTTTAATTACTACTTCTGTATTCCTCTTCTACCACAGTAAGCAAGCATTACTGAGCTCAAAGGAGTGATCACTTACCAGTGAACTGCAGCCACTCTCCAGAATTTCTCTGTTAGAAACACTAAGACACCTTTTAGGACAAGAAATTAAGAATTTTACTAACGTAAATAATTTAGAAATCCTAAAACAACGTGCTCTTTCATCCCTTGATTAATACTGGTTAAGCAGTAACAGTTCACAATATATACTGCTTATCATGCAGTGAGGATGCAATTTTAGACCACCTGAAACATTCAGTGAAATATCTGCCCTGCTGGCAAACTTCCTGGAAGATGATTTTCTATAAAAGATTATGTTATTGTAATGGAAGCTTTCAACATTACTGGAAGAAACAGAAGTACTCTTTTTTTATGCTGAATACTGCTCACATAAACTTTGGCTATCTGCCCTATTCTGTACTTGGAGGAAACAAGCCACACAACAGACTCTCATTTACAAAATAAATCCTAGTGATGTAAATTGTGATCTTTGTGTCATATCCCTTTTCCAATCAGAGCCTCAGAGAAGACTCAAGACTATTTAAAGCATTTTTTTAAATAAATTTCAGCAGGCAGTTTTAAAGACTATTTGATCTAGATTCATTAACCCACTTTGAACTACCATCAGTTCCTTATACAGTCTTCAGATCAAGACCTAAAATTCTGTTTACTAGATACTTCATCAGATTTGACTGCAATATCTTCCCCAGCACCACCTTTCTAAAACTATGAAAATATCTGTAAAAGCTATCAAACATAATAGTGTGCCATGTTCAGATCCTGACAGCAAGATCTGTTTTGCTAAAGTCTCAAAAATGTTAGTGGTTTAAGTGTTTTCCCTAGGCAACACACTCCATTTTCCTAACCAAAACATTGATACATGTCGTATGCCTTATCAATGAAATCTTGATTCTGTACTATGTAAGTGGTTTTGGATACAACATTTATAACAATTATATGGGGGGAGGGAGGTGTGGGTGGGTGTTGGTAGGGTATCTTTTTGCTTGTTTATTCCAGATTAATAGTGTTTGACTGCAATTAAAAGCTAATACACACACAGGAGAATTCCCGTATTTCCAAGGAAATTCTACCAGCAAACATAACCCAACTGCCCTTATGAGGCTGTTTCAGTCTCTGACTAGATGCAGGGCATACCACCTTTCCATTATTTTGAAAAGTGGATATGGTTAAGTCTAAACACTACTCAGGGAAGAAGAAGATGGATTTTCAGCTCCAGTACATACTGTCAAAGTAGAATGATTAAAAATGAGACTGTCGCCCACAAAGTCATTTAACTTCAGGTTAAGGCTATGTTTAGACGATGGGAACAGCTTAACAATTTTAGAATTTTTTCTTTTATTATTAAAGAGTTCTGCCTCTACATTCCCTTAATCTTTTAGAATACATCTTCATATTCTACTATATAGGCACAGGAAGAAGAAAATACAGATAGCTGGGATTTACCCACAACTACCACAGACTTTGGGGGTTGGAGAAAGCAAGTTTCTGCCTTTCCAGTCTCTCTACGTGCCTCTGGCTCTTCTTAGCTAAGGAATCCAAATTATCCAAGGTCCTTGGAAGGAAATACTTTTGAATGGTCGAAGTAAGTACCAAAACTAGGTTTGACTTGAAGTTAATATTCTTGGCCTCAAAAGCAATACAGCAAAGAGTAAAAAAGTGGTACCCCTTATCAAATCGTTACTGCTAGTGAAGAAATGGGAGAAGTCAGAGAATCCAGCTTACAGTCCATGGCAGTACTGACATTTTGTGGAGGTACGGGGAAATGAATCGTTCATTTCAGATACAAAACAAGAAGCAGATTAGTAACTCTGAAGATTGCACAGAGAAGTTCAATTATTGTTTAAAGTTAATCACAGTTAAGGAAAAAGAAAAAAAAAAAACAAACCAAAAAAACCCCAACCCAAACAGAACAATAATCACCTGAGAGCTAACAGAGGACTGCAAAATTGATGAGAATTTGCTTCAGTTCCACAAGTAATGCATGCATCACCAAGGAGCACACCTTCCCCACAGCACAGATGCAGCCTGTCATGTGCTTACTACAGACCACCACCAGAATTGTCCACAAAAAAAACCTCAGTTTTCCCTAGTCCCAGCCCTCACATGACTAGAAAGCCCTGCGTATCAGCTTTCTAGGTCTGATTTCAAGCCACACTTATGCTGAATAGACTGAAAAAGAACAGTTAGCTGGTTTGCTCACAAAAAGGCTTGAGACTTTTCTTCAGTGATGGCACTAATTCAGGGTTCCCCTCTATCAGAACAAAGGAATTTAGTGACCAGTAACCTAAACTTTCTTTAAACTGCTGAATTTGAATCAATAGGTTAAAAAAACAAAACTGAGAAAAACTGAGATATTTATGATCATACTGTCTTGTATTTATCCTTTTCTTAAGAAGACCACTATTTTTAATTTTATTTCCTAAGGGAATTTTTCTTTATTAGTATATTGCATGCAGGCATGTGTGGTCTCTGCCCACACTAAGCCCTCAAGCTAAAAGTCCTAAGGCCAACATAATCATATACAAAATAACTCACTTTATAAAAGTTCATTAGTATCAGCAACAATACAATAGTATTAACCAACAAGCACCCAATATTGTATAGATTGAGACAGCATTGCTACAAACCAGCTACAAACCCAGAGCATTTCTATGAAGTTGTGGCTATCAATAAAATGGAAAATAAATTAAAAAAAATAAAAAAGCAGCACATTGAACCATTCAGTCATTCCTAGCCAAGATTTGCTTTGTGCAACAAAGTACTTTGTCACTGAGCATTCAGTTTTTGAGGTTTTTACATTTTTAGCATATAGTTCTAGCAAATGCTCATTTGTTTTTTTTTTTTTTGCTTTAACATGGTCTTCAGTTTTAAGTTACTATTTTAAACAGAATAGTCTGTAGATCAGATAGAAAACTATTTCTCAGCAATACATGGCAAAGTAAGTTATCTTTTCACTGAAAGCCCACAGGGCTATTTTTGCCACTTTTTCAAAAGGTTTTATTTAAACATATACACAGAGAGCACGTATTACATTGCTGTTGTATGTAAAAACAAGCAAGCAACGCTCCGCTGCCAAAGCTGGTGGTTCACATGTGGACAGGAAAAAGAAGTATTAAATAAACTCTCAAGAAGCCATTTGCTTGCGTAAGTTCATTTCTAAGAAATTAAGGCGCCCAAAACCGTGCTCATTTTCACCTAAAAAGGTCAATTCCCAGCATCAGCAGCTACAGTAAGTCCCACTGTCAACTAGAATGAAAAATGGCACAAAACATGCAAGTAGAATGAAACATGGCACAAAACCATTAAATACATCACGAGTCAGATTTCAAGATACCGATCTTCCTGAACTTGGCTCATGGCACTGAACAAACAGCACTGCATGGATAAAGCCTTTAGCCTTTGAAAGTATTGAAAGTCAGAACTCAGAAATGATCTTATAGTTGGCATAATTTTGCAAAAGCTTGAAGTTGCAAATTCTAGAAGTCTGCACAGAAGTTACACTGAAGCACACAATTACTGGATTTTAAACTGCCTGACAGTATTATCCAGTCATCTTAGAGTACCTTTCCAAGGTAAGTTTTTTGATATAGAATATGAAATGCTGTTCTGGCAAAATCAGTAAGACAGAGTAAATGCAACACCAAGATGCAGTCAGATTAACACTGGGAGAAAGTTAGACAAGTCTAGCTTTAAATGGCTATTAAAAACGTACTTTAGCTAACCTCCATTTAATCGAACAGAACAAATGACACTTGACTGTCCTGCTAAATCAGAGTTATTAAAAAAACCCAACCAAAAGAAAACCAAACCAAACCAAAACCCCCAACCACACAAGAACCAAGAACAACAAAATCAAAGCAACCCATGGTTCCCCATCTAATCTTATTTTAGGACAGAAGAACGACTTTGCTGTATTTTGTATTCTTTGGCAGGGAATCTATGAAACCAAAACACATTCCGACAATTTGAACCTTTCCTGAGAAGGACTCAATCATAAACTCATTTACAGCATCTTATGTGTGAGACAGCAACAGTTTAAAAGTCAACAACATGGAATGTACCAACAGATTTATGAAGAATGACAAGTAGCAGTTATTTACATGTTCAGGGTAGTTAATTGTTCTTTAGTAATTAGGTTTCACCTGTATAAATTAGAAAACTACAAAAAGTCAACACTGGGAGAAGTCCCCCACTGTCTTTAAAAGTTCAAGTAAAAACCATCTTCGCAGCACTTTCCTTAGACAATAGCGTATTGCTCGTATAAAAGGTCTCTTATCCTATAGAAGTCTTGACAGAGACAGCCTTCCAATCCAATGCGTCCTGTTTCAGTCTGAAACAAAAGACATGTTTCAATGTATTACTTTTAAAATTGAGTTTCTCGTTAGTGTAATTTAGAATATTATTTACCAAAGAGTTTAATACACAGAACACCTACCCTACGAACAGCCACCAGGTTGTTGCACACAAGCACTCCTCCTACAAATTCAGCTTGAATACCTTCTCGCAAGAGAACTTGCTTGAAGTCAGACAGCCTTGGCTCATTCATAAACACAGACTGATGTCCAAGAACCTTTAAACAACACGCACACAATTAACACTTCTGCTACCAAATACCTCCCATTTTTCCCAAGATCTCATCATCATTGTGTTGGCAGCAGTGTGGCCCTGACTACAGGACTACAAATGAGAAGATTGGTTCTATTTCTGTTCACCTGCAGCAAGACATCTCCAGGCTAGGAAAGCCTCAGAAGTTATGCATCAGGTAAAAGCAAAAAAAAAAAAAAAAAAAAAAGAAATGGTTTCTTTCTCTGCTCACATATTGAAGACAAAGGGAAAGCTGTCACTTGTCACTGAAGATCCCTCTTCCAAGCCATGTTATGCCAGGGACAGAGCTGCAGTAAGCTGTACTGCTTATCAGTACATACTTCTATGATAGTTGTCATGAATCTGAACGGACTTTAGAGTTGTCTCTTCATTTATCTAGCTCCTAGAACAGACTACATTTAGGACTATGCAAGAGTATCTTAAAAAGCAATTCTAGGATTAGAAGGCATTGTAATCATTCAATGAAAAGATAAAAATACTATCTACTCACATGCAAAGTACTTGAAGAGTAAAGATAAATTTATAGAAGCCTCAAATCACTACTAGAGGAGACATAAGAATTTCAAAAGATCTGTATCTCAAGTACATGAAGTATTTTCCATAGCATCAACAAAACAATGAAATCCAAGAGTGACTAAAGGCCAATTTCCAAATCTGCAAGTACTAACTACAAATACAAAAAATGCTAATTAAAATCTTATCTTCATAAATAGATAGTACTGTATGCTACACACTGTTACGAACAAAGAACAGTACCAGGTTTAACAGAGAGAAAACCAAACATGAAAATCCAGTTTTAGTTAGGCTTTCATTTGAGTAAGATTACAGAATCAACCTCTAGGCACTAGAAAAAGTCAAATGAATACCAAGCTCTCCAAAAAAGAAGCCCAAATCAGCATAACTTCTGTACCTCATGGGGTGGCAGAGGTTCCAAAGTAGGAATGATCTCACTCTCCTCACACATCTCCTTGTCATCATCACCAAAGAGGCTTTTCATGGCCTTCTGTTGTGCAATGACACTAGAATCTGAAGAAGGCACATCCACTTGCATCTCCAAGTCTTCATCTTCCCTCAGCTCCCCTTCTTCCAAAATAACTCCAGTATCCACTTTTGAAACGCGCATGTCCAGAACACCATCTATCCAAGCCAACTCAGCATCCTTGGCTTTACAGAACTGAAGGGAGCTGACAAGAGAATCTTTTAATCTGACCTGGGTTGCACAAAATTAAAAAGAACTATTAGTTTGATGGAAAACACAGAATTCTTATTTCAAGCTTTAAAACAAAACAAAACAAACAAACAAAAAACCCCAAAACACACACACAAAAAAAAGGTAGTTTTCCTTTCACTGTCTCTCCACACAGGTTTGGTTCATACTCTTTTGTGGCAGTAAAGGAAGGAACTGGCATCAGCAATGCAAGATGATCTATACTTGCAGAATATAATTTGTATAACCCTCATGTGGTTACTCAAAAGCAGTGAAGATCAATACCTTTAAACAACCTATATGACTGCAAACTTGAGTTAAACGTAAAGCAAGAGCAATCAATTCCTTTAAAACATCAGAAATCTTTTTTGTGGCCAAGAAGTTCCTCAGTTGGCTGGAGAATATGTAAGGAAAGTTTCTATAGGTACATTTAGGTTATTGAACAGCAGTTCCAAATTTCAACCCTCCAGAAGAAAGCAATTAATATTTTACTTTAAGAAGGGATGTCATAAACATCAGATTCTAAACTGACCAAAACATTACCTTACCCTGATTACTCTGGTGCATTCCAGGACCTTAATCCATTAAATAAAGCCCTACTCCCAAAAATTGTTATTCACATGAGATTGTGCACGATCCCCATAGCAGAATGAAGCTGTATGCAGGATACTACAACTATCCATCTGCAGCACAGCCCAATAAAAAGACACTGGGATTCTGATGCCCCACTTGTATCTATTATTTTCTAAATCAATGTCTCAAGCGCACTTCATCTGTTCAGAAAGCTTCAAATAGAAAAAACAAACTAAAGCTAGTAGTTACACAACTAACAGATTCCACTACCTTACCTGGTAAATGTGAGTTTCACTGGTTGCATCTACAGTTTCATGTAGTTTTGGCATATAAACTTTAATATCTTTTCCACCAAAAGCTCTGCAACATTCTGCAAGGTCCTGACTGGCCTCAGGTGGTCCATGGACAATGATCAGTTGTCTTGGTTTCATTTGGTTAATAATTTTTTTAATTGAGTCGCCATCTGAGCGTCCTTCATAGTCAATATATGTAACTCTGGCTCTAGTTTCAATTAAAAAGCACAAGAACATTGTTCTTTAGTTTAAAAGACTAAACCTTCAAATGCTCAAAAATATTTCATTTAAAAACGGAATATATCTCAAAATTATTCTACATCAGCAAAAGCTGTCAGTACAAGATATATTATCAATCAGTAAAATACAGAATTGTCAAATACCAACATGTATGTGCATTTAACACTATCAATTCTCAAAATTCACTCACATAGTTACCCAAAACATAAGCAAATTTGAGTAAGTTCAGATTTAAAAATATGATAAATGAACATTTGAGTATTTATACTAATATACTAATGTTTGTTCTTCCTCTTTCACTTCTCTCCATCAGACAGGGAACAAACTCCGAATTTCTTAAGAGAGGGGAACCATTAAACTCTGCAACATGCCCCACGAAAGACTAGTAAAAAAACTAACTTAACTTGGGGGATAGGGGGAGGAGGCACATCAAAACCAAAGCAACAAATCAAACCAAACAGCAAGCCCTTTCCCACTTCCTGAATTCCAAACTAGCCTTTTACCCAATTTGCACCATATCCATGCCACCATTCCAGCAGAACTGACAAGAACAACAAAGTCACTCACTTAATTTCCATAGATTCTGTAGCAGAAATACATTTGGTAGGAACATCTGATAAATCCTGGTCCATAGGCTCTTCTCCATTTGTCAAACCAGATTCTAATTTGCTTTTTTCTTCTTCTGTTGCTTGAAGTTCTGGAACTAGAAAATCCTCAGGTCTAAAGAATGAAAGGTATTTTGCTTTTAACAGTCTTACAGTGAAACCAAAGCACTACATGATGTAATAATGCTTACTACTACTTCTCAGATGTTTTATAATTTTTCTTGCCAACAATTGCCTTCAGTATTTCCATATTTGAACAGAGCTCATTTGGAAAATATCACCTTCCTATCTAAAAAGAACCTTGGTATCTTGGGAAATCCTGCAGAACTGAGGTTTTCTAGCAAGTATTCCTTACACAGAAAGAACAAAACTCACCAGATTTTTCTAGGATTAACAATATTCTTTCCTATTATTATAAATTTGTCAAAATTATGTATAATTTAAAGCAGAAAAATAGTCAAGTTAAAAAACAAAACAAAACAAAACTTTCTATCTCAAGATAGAAAAAAAAAAAAAACCTGGAGTAGAAACACATCCAAACAGGTGTGAACACAAGCCAAGGATCAGGACTCTGCAGCTTCAAACCTATCGTAAGCTTCCTGTGAGACTTAGTGCAAACAGTCCTAACGGTGTTTGAAAGAGCATGCAAGAGTAGTGCAAAAGAGACAAAACTGTCATTTTTATTACTTCTATTTTTGAAGTATTTCATAGCTACTACATGTCAGTATGCATTCCCACCACATACTTGATAATCTCGCCATATTCATCCCATTTAATTCTTTCTTCAGGGGCTGGAAACATTGGATAAGACTTCTTTGCCTGCTTGAAGAAGCTTCCTTTCCGGCTACCTTCACCTTTCATCATCAAATCATGTTTAGTCTTATGTACAGTTGGCTGATCAATATCCTCTTCAGCATCACTCTCATCGCTAGAATCGATATCTGCCCTAAAATGACATTCCAAGAAAACTAGCATTTTTTTTCATTCAGGTTTAATTAAACACTCTGACTGGAAAATAACAGTTGACTTAACACTAACAAAGGACAAGAGCAGTTTCTGTATCTGAGAAAGCGCTCACAGTCAAAGGGCAAATGAAACAGGTCTATTGTAACACCTAACAGATTAAAGATACCTACTCCCAATTCCTCTGTGCCTTCAGACAAGTCTATCAAAACTATGTTTTTCATTTACCCCTGTAAACGGTTGACCAGCTGAATGTTCACACAGAAATATCAGCTCTGACCATAACAGCAAATACAAAACCAGCCAGTATACTTACTCTTTAGATTGTTCTAACTTCTTAGCTGCTTCTTTCTTTAGTTTCTCCTTCTCTAGGTATTCTTCAAGTTCTTTTCCTTCCAACTTGACACGTTTCCTCAACTGCACAGGATTAAAATTAGTATTATTGTGAGTAGCTGACATGACTTTATTACCTTTCCTACACACTGCTGACAAGAATATTCATATTTAAGTACCCAGGGCAAGTACAACTCACACGTCACATACAACACAAGATTATGTGAATGTGTGGCACCTTGGTATGGCAAAATCATGATAATGCTACCTATTAGTAGATTCTACTTTAACAGAAAAGCATTTCTAGAAGTATTAAAATCAATCAGCTTTACAAAAATTTCTTAAAACATCTTCAGGAAATCTCTCCCCAACAAGGGAATGCACATACTTTGAGATGAGCAGTGTTTATTTTTTGTATCACTAACACCACAGAATCATAGGTTGAAAAGGACCTCAAAGATCATCTAGTTCCCCCCCCCTGCCATGGGCAGGGACACCTTCCACTAGACCAGGCTGCTCAAAGCCCCATTCAACCTGGCCTTTAACACTACCAGGGATGGGGCAGCCACAACTTCTCTGAGCAACCTGTGCCAGGGCCTCACAGTAAAGAACTTCTTCCTAATATCTAATCTAAGTCTAGCCTCATCAAACCGAAGAACCTGGTAAAGTCATACTAGCAGGCAAAATAATAGTAGATGTTATTTTTTGTTCTCTGAAAACCAAATCAGAGTTCAGGTCACTGAATCCTAGTAATAGTCTAATACTGTAATTCAATGCTTCCAACCCAACCTAAAACTAAATCAAAGCTGCATCATCAGGATTGAAATTACCATGGTGATCACAAGGGACCCCCCCAAACTGACAATGTTTACACCAAGAGAAGTACACACAGGTATGTAAATTACTGATAATAATGTTAAAGCAGGAGTAACAATTAAGTGTGTCCTAATTCCTAATTTTCACTTATCTTTCCAATTCAGGGAGGGGATATATTACGATTTGACTTGATTCTTCCCTCATCCAAAACTAGAGTAGGAAATGGAATATAAAAATGGTCAGGGACATTTTCCCCCCCAATTATAATTTTTATTTTTTCCCTGGAAAAGTAGTAAGCCAGAAATTGTGCTGGACTACGACATCCCACATTAAAGTTAGTGCTGCTCACATGATCTATAGCCAGCTGAGGATCTGACCTCTTTTTTCAACAAGTGGCCAGATCCTGCCAGGGTAGAGGAGCTGGTATATGTGCAACTTCATGGTGTAATAGCAATCAGAAGGGCTATGGGTTGCAACTCTGACTAAAAAACTGAATCTTATTTTGAAGAGGGCAGCTGGGGAGCTGCAGGCTGGTGGCTACATGGGGTGCGGAAGCCCGTGTGGGTTTATGGTTGGACTCAATCTTGGAGGTCTTTTCCAACCTAAATAATTCTATGATTTTCCGCCAAGAATAACCCATCTTATATTGTGTCAATAGCAAGCAGAATTTCTTCTATTATAACAAAGCCAGAGTGTTTTCTAAAGATAAAAATTTAAAAGTAACTTCATGCGCATCTCTATGAAGTTTTGTCACACCACCAAAGAGCATTTTGCTGTTCCTAGTATGAGACCTATTTTTACCCAAGTCTATCCACAATTGGTTAAGCATGCAACATACTGATTTCAGATTTCCCTCTGCCACTAGAAGTGTTTTCAGTAGGTCAAAACAGAAACTAAGTTCAGTTTTGCTCAAAGTCCCTCAGACGGCCCACACTAAAATCACTGAGATATACAGACACCACTTACCTCAATATCTATAATTTTCTCAGAAGGATTATCAATCAGGAATCGTGCTAATGTTCCAGGTGTAGTGCGGTAAGTTAAAATTATAGAGTTTTTGGAATCCTGGCACCACTGAATGAAAAGATCTCTAGAAAACCCACACTCTAAGTCAGGCTGACTGGCAAGAACAACTTTTGGACTCGGCACTCGTGCCAGATCAGACAGACTATGACATAAGGAGAGATGGCGGAACTGAAAAGGGTTGTTTCTCTTGTCTTCAAAGCACCTCATCAACTTGTCACTCATCCATTCAACCTAAAATATGCATTAAGAGGAAGTTAGTTATAAGAATACAAGTTCTACAATAAGGTACAAACCTGATAGGAAGTACAGGATGTACTTGAATATGTACTTGAAACATGCCTCTTGGCAAGTGTAGAAATAATGCTGAGCATAAACAACACAGAAGTAATTCAAGTCCTCTTCTTAAAGTTATAAACTATGCTAATTAGTATTGTGATAAAAACAAAAATGAGTATTAAGAAACATGCTCATAGCCATGGCTGCACTCTGTGTTAACTTCGTCAAAAGATCTGAGACACAAACATGCACTACAGAAGGAGGACGACACCCAGTATTTACTCATCCTTTAGTGTTAAAAAAGTTTTTGTATACATGTTTCATTACCCTCATCATAACTGCATTTTAAAATCAGAACAAACCTGTGATTTAGAAAACTCCACTACATTGTAGCTGACATTATTCAGAAGTGCCAGGGAGTAGACTCCTAATCCTGCATCCTTCGTTCTCCAGATCTGATCAAGGAGTTGAGCAAGCTCCAGAACTCTGCCTGCTGTATCCACCGCTATTAACACATTCCCATCACCTCGCAATGTCTCCAAAACATTAGCTAAGAAGAATTAAAAACAAAACAAAAGCCTACTTGTACTTTGAAGCAAAATTAGAATGTGTGCAGCTTGTTTTCGTTTGTTATATCCACTAGCAATCATAATCAAAGCATACTGAACACAGAAGTAAATTAATCTTCAAAAGAGATCCAAAGCTACGTTTCCACCAACATTAAAGGGAACTGGAGTTTTCTTGGTAGCTCTGAAGATCTCACTGTCTTGATACAAAAAAAAAAAGAAAAGAAAAGAAAAGAAAAAGAAAAGGCAAACAAAAGTAACACCACCACCACCCCGAAAAACAAACAAACAAACAAAAAAACCCCAAAACCAACCAAACAAAACCAAAACAATTTTTATAATAAGAACGTGCTGAGAAAGGTCATTTAAAAATCCCTTAAGAGATTAGTTAATAAGTTAGATACTGGGTGAAATACACTGTTTTCAAGTATATTTCACTGTTTTCAGGAAAATGTTTAAACCCAAAGGATCAGTATGACCAGAAAAGAGCAATTCAAAATTTGTTACATTTTAATAAAGGTTCTTAGTTTGGATGCTGAAGAATTTCTCACAGAAAAACAACTGACAGTAGCAAACGAATCACATTACTGCTGTTTTCAAGCCCAAACACAATACATACTCAGTAGCTGTTCATCCCTTTGCTTCCTCCTGGGTTGTACATAAGTAGCATTAAATGAATCTGTAATAAGCAATGAAGGCCTGCTCAACATTTCCAAGGAACATCCATTCAGATGACTGTGGAAAAAATGCAAAATCTCACTTTTTTGCATTTCTGTTTTATAAGAAAAAAAAAAAAAAAAATAAGGCAGCTAGCTTCCAGATACCTGCATGTACAGAAATTAAACCCCTCAGGAGCGGAATGTTTCCCACTTCCATCTTACAAACAAATAAAATTGAGTGGAATAAAGAAACCCAGAGTTAATGCTTGTTTCTAACTGATTAATCTGAATACAAGTAAAATTAGTGCTCTCAGAGCCAGAAAGGCACTGCTACTACCATACCTGCTTATCATACACTAAATGACGTACATCTAACACAACTTCTAATACATATTGCTATGTTAAACTTACATCTCCCTCTTGTGGTTGAAATCAACTGCATAAACAATTTCTTCCTCTCCATCCTTGACAATCTTCCAGATTGTGCCTCCTATCATGTGTCCAGCTGGCAATGGCGTGATTGACAAACCATGTCCTTTGCCTGCAGAAGTTTTCAATATTTTAGATACATGTATTAACATCCATTACTCTGAAGAAGTGAGCAACTCTGAACAACTGCAGGCCAAAATTATTACTGGGGGAAAAAAGTCAAATGAAGTATGAAAAATTCAGTAACATATCTGTCCTTCCCATCTAGCCAGTAACTTCAAAATTTTTTGCAGTACACTTCTATTCAGCCTCTAGAAAAAGAAACTAAAGTGAAGATCACTTCTTTCCCCCACTGATACTGAGAGGCACTAGGAGCTGCTCTAACTGTAGACCTAAACAACAGTAAATTACGTAACAAAAATACCACATGAAAGCAGGTACTCTTGTGCAAAACAGACCCCTCTCTAGGGCAACACAAGACGCTTACTTTATCACTGGCTGCCTAAGTAATTACAAAAACACATACACATTATACAAACTGGGAAATTTTTCAGATTGACAAATATGCAAATCAAACAAACCGGGAAAAGTGTTCATGTGCTCAGTCAGGGATGATGGATCTTTTCAGTACCTGATGCCTTTTTTAATGCATTGCTGCTCCTTGATGTTGCTGTTAACCTGTATTTTTGTCAGAGTAAAATGAGACCACTCATGACCATAACTCACTGACTTCACTGTATGCCACTAACTTGAACGGAAGTGCACAGCTTCAATAATAATTAAAACATACATTATCTTCTTAGATGCATCCATCGAGTCTTTTCAAATCACTTACATTAAATATGAAAAAGCAGGTTTTTTAAGAAACAACCTAGAAAAAGTGGTTCACTAAAACTACTTCTAAGATGTAAAAGCTGGCAGCACAAACATAGCCTTGCTACACGTATCTTGAAAAAGGGTCAGCAGCCTTTCAAGAACGGCATCCTATTTCTGTTTTCCAAATTACAGTGCAAGTATTTTGGCAAGCAGCATTCAGGAAGTGGGAGATATTGCATCTGAGACAAGCTGCTGGTGGCTAGCTTGTATGCATCTATTCAAGAACAGGGTTTCCGATTCGTTCCAATCTTTGAATTAAACAAGAGTGAGAAGCTGCTGATCCTCTGGATGCCACAGTTCCCAGCAATAACCAACACTGAGTATCACAGAGAGCCAGTGAAGACCCCCTCTTTTAAGTCATCCACATGCTGTAACTTACTCTCTGCAACTTATTCATTCTCTAGAAAGCTCTCCTTTGTGTTACTAGTTATTGAAGAGTTCTGAGCTATCTACCACTAGGCATGAGTACATGCTTTTGAGAGACAATAGCAGGAAGAGTTAGAAAAACAAAGAGAAAAAAATGTCTAAATATGCTTTGGCATGACCTCCTCCTCATTAAGTGGAAATTCTACCCATTTCCATGCACAATTACTGAGGTAAATGTTCAGCTGATATAAGCTGATAAAAGGCTACTGATATCAGCCCCGCAAAATGCACAACATGTCAAAACTTACTCCCTTTTTAAAAAAAAGAAAAAAGAAAAAGACACTTTAACTCTTAGTGAAAGACATTAACAGTCATTAAAAGTTATTTAGTGAAATTTGGGCAACAACTTTACCTTTCAAGTTCACAATCTGAGAAAACTTCAGCTGTTGTATCTTATCAAAGGCTGCATCTACATCATCCAATGTAAAGAGTGTGAAATCTTCGGTATTATGGCGGGACTAAAACAAATAAGAAGTATGGAGCATTCAAGAACCTGAGCACTCTAACATACAGATGTTGCATATGAAAGTATCAACTTAAACATACCTGGTAGAGATCATACATGAACATCTGCCCCATTTTATAAACAGGAATAGTTGCATAAATGGCACAATTCAACCCCATTTTTCCAACTGCATATGGAAGCGCACCAAGGTGTAGAGGGTCAGGATGAGAAAGAAGAACAGCATCAACTTGGTGTACATGTCTACAAAAAGAGGACAACAGAAGTTGGTGAAAAAGAGTTCTGTACAGTGTTACATACTCCCTATTACAGCTGTTTTGAGAATACATACACAGCCTGAAGGTCAAACAAGAAAACATAAATCCTTCCAAGTTCAGAACAAAGTTTTTAAAAATCACCATTTAAAAGTTACAGATATTTCCAAATGTTCAAGTACTAAAAACTGCAAGTGAATTTTGAAAACATGGTTTCAAGGTCTGGAAGACATACATTTCACATCAAATTCTTCATTACAAAGACCTTAATGTAAGACCTCAGAAAGTGCATTAACTGAGGGGTGAAAAATATTACCACTGCAGACATGCTACAAACTGTTCATACACCTAAAACCCAAAACAGACTACAGCTTTTCTTCTGATGAGAAAAGCCCACAGGGCCAAAGACACAACAATACTTAAATTGAAAAGGATAAAATCAAAACATATTTCTTTAAAAACATAAAAGTCAAAAACATAATTTAGGAGAAAGGGCACACAAATTTGTGTGTCGGGGGGTGTTATTAATTTAAAAATAGAGAATTTTTTCCTTGCAAAGTGTTGCACAAAATAAAAATCAGACTAAAAGCTTACTACCTAGCATAATTGAAAAACTTAAGGGCATAAACCATATGCAACAAGTGAAAATACAAGTAGGGCTGAAAGCTTTTTCTTCCCTCACACTGTAACTGGGGCACACATTCTTCTCAATGGCTGTTACTAAATAAGGGATTTTATCTGATTACTTCACAGATAAGACTCAAGAAAAATTTATAAATTATCCTAAAGTACATAATAATTCTTAGTTAAGACATCAAACACTACAAGTGTGTCCACGCTAAGAAAGCGTATCTATGAAAATACATCACGAAGCTTAGTTTCTTCCAGGAATTACCATGGTTCAGCCCTAACCTTGCAATCAATGCTTGCATCAAAGCTACTTGCTTTGGAAATACATCACCATACACATACCATTGCATGATACTTCAAAAACTTTTCAGACTCATTTAAAAAAAAATAAAAAATAAAGAGTGTATGAACTGAACTTACTTTTTTAGAGAATCAATAATATCCATAGAAAAGTTTTCATCCCAGCCACAGTCCAAAAGAAAACGAAATTCATCTACTTGCAACAGATAGCAAAGGGCAGATTCTTCTTGCACTCCTGAAAGTGTAGTCAACTTGATAATCGATGTCATTTTCCTCTCCCAGGTGTTTAATCTCCAACAAAACTAATCTGAATGGGGGAAGAAAACGTTTCATTGCCTAAGCCAAAGCAAAAGTCTATTTAGACCTAACTTCATTCATTTCTCAGAACACGCACGGTAACAGCTACTGAATACTAATTAAGCCTCGGATATTAACTTGATCGTTGTAGGTGTTTTGTTATTAGAAAGAGGATATTTTTACTATTATAATAAAAAGGATCACTCAGAACAGCACAGTTAACAGTAGCAGCTCCCCGCCGAGGGCCGGACAGGAGCACCTGGACACGGCGCATCAAAGGTTGCGTCCCCTCAAGACTGTCCGAGGGGGGGCCCAGCCCGAGCTGGAATCCAGCACGGGGGGGGGCCGGGGGCTCCGCACGGC